CAGGAGACTCAGGAGATGTGGGTGCTATCCCTGGCTCAGGAAGATCCCCTGGAGAAGGAAATGGCAATCCACTCCAGCATTCTTGCCTGAGAAATCCCATGGACAGAGGAGCCTGGTGGGCTACAGTCCATGGGGTCACAAAGAGTCAAATATGACTGAACACACATTCATGCCTTTTTAATATGAATTTTTGGTTCTTCCCTTCTTGGGTTCAAATCATCAGTTCTGGGATATGAACCAAGAATATATTAAAATATGCAACTGGTGAAAAATCTCTTCATCACTGATCATATATTCTATAGTATGCTTAACAGCATATTGTCATAGGCACATTTTTAGAGAAGAGTTTGTATTTGACCTTTATAGTCATGACAAGAGAGACTGCATGGAAATTAAGGAAGGAAAGTGTGTGTGTGTGTGTGTGAATTCACAAACTTCACAATGATGATTTTCAATCTTATTGTAAGAAATTATATTCTCTGAAATGGATAAAAAAGATCACTGAGTAATTTTTATTTTAGAAAATGTGTCAGAGCATTAGATATTTCATTTGAGTAGCTTTTATTTTTTTCTTTTTGACAAGGAATTCTTTTGTAGCTAAAATTTTACTCTTAGTCTAAGCTCTGTGATTGTTTTAAACATTTTGCCAAACTCCCAAGTCCATTTATAGCTTCCCCTTTATGTGAGAAGTCCTGCTCCAGGCATGCACTGGGAAAAATTACAGAGTACTTCTCAGGTGGGTCTGTTGCTAGGATGAAATGATATACTTCATTACATAGTACTTGGCCAGCTGGTGACCTGTCTGAGTACCAAGACTTTGCTAGTCCTTGAGTATGGAGCAGTGGGTCTCTTTCAAATACTTGAATCTGAGATACAGGATAAATCCTTGTCTTAACTAGGCATTCTGGTTGCCAGTTTGAGTTTGCCATGGACAATGGAATTTGGCAATATGTAAAGACACAGAGTGTGTTCCCTGATGTAGATGCAGAAATATTATTTCTGCTGTGTAATAAGTGTTTCACTTTGCCAATATCTCAGGCAGAGCTGTATGATCTGTTTCAGAGGCTTCAGGCAGTCCTTCACTCCAGGGTGTGATTCTCAATATCCATCAGAACACTTAACGGGCTTATTAAAGTAAGATGTTGGACCCCAGAGTTCCGGATTCAATAGGATTGGGGTGAGAGTGAGGCAGTCGTAGTTTTAAACAAGTCTGCAGGTGATGCCAATGTGGGTGCTCCAAGGGGCACACTGTGAGAATGATGTTCTAATGCTGCCTTTCTCAAAGTCAGATCCTCAAATCAGAACCACCTGGACTGCCTGCTAATCTCCTGACTCTCAGAATGTATCCTGATGGCCTAAATTCAAATCTCTGAGGGGTTATGTCAGTGATTTGTATTTGCTCAAGCTCCCCAGGTGGTCCAGACGCACATTCACATCTGAGAACCAGTTAGAGGGGGAGGACTGGGCATAAGGTTAGCCAGACAAAACACAAATCAGATCTTCGTTTCAACATAACCAATTTTAAACCATGGCTTGTCATCTCTGGTTGTTTTATACGTAGTAGTTGAATGAATTAATGATAATGAATGTAGGTAGCCAATTAATCGCTACTCTGTTTGCTCCCAGCATCTTTTCTTTATTCTGCTCTAACCGACATCATCCATATTTTAACTCCCTGCTTCTTTGTCTCCATCTAGACGGGGACCTTATCCTTTTGTTCTGTCTCCAGTGTCAGAGGTCTTGAACGAAAGGGTCATTACATAGGATCACTAAACACATGGAGTGCAGTTGGAATAAGTGACATTCCAGAGGTGAAGAGAATATGTGGGGGAAAAAGAAAATAGATTACTTAGGTTTGATGAGACTAGTGTGTGCTAAGAATTTTGTGGGTGATCAGAAATAGAATAGTAAAGAATGTAAAGAAGAGTCAGAACATGGCAAATGGCAAGTTAGGCATTTCTTCCCAAATTAACTTTGATGGGTAGTGCTTCCCCTGTGGCTCAGCGATAAAGAATCCGCCTGCCAATACAGGAGATATAAGAGAGGTGGGTTTGATCCCTAGATCGGGAAGATCCCATGGAGGAGGGAATGGCAATCCACTCCAGTATTCTTGCCTGGAGAGTCCCATGGACAGAGAAACCTGGCGGGATATGGTGCATAGGGTCACAAAGAGTTGACGTGACTGAAATGATGTAGCATGCGTGTACAACCATGACAGATGAAATTTATTTGTTAGTCTAACTATGATTTATTTAACCTTTCCTAGTTGAGAGGAAAAATGACTTTATTAGGGTTACTTTACCAATATGTAAAAAAAAATCTAGAGTAGAAATGGGTTATAGATGTGGAGAACAGTTCCTGATACTGTTGTTGAAATAAAGGATTGTTATAATGTCCTTGTTTCTGCTATTGTCCACACCCATTGTCTAAATTATAAACTCCGTTTCGTCTCCCCTGAATGGGCTTACGATGCCCTGATTCTTAATAGTCTTGTTTAATTTTCTGTTCTGTGCTTCATAGACTGTCTCCTGAATTTCAAACCTCTCATCACTCTATTTGTAAATGACTTGAATTTTCAGTCTCTGTCCAAACAACCTAGATTCCTAACATAGTCCACTCTGTTCTTTGATGTCTGTGTGCATTGGTACTGGATTGTTGCTAGCATATGCATCCCAATCATAGACTGTATCTGTCACGAGTATTCTGGTCTCAAGTCTGTCTGCGGTCTTAAGATTCTTGCACTAGATTCGTAGATTTTGCCACCATGTCCACACAGTCCCCGTTGTATTCTCCTCATTTGCATCATTGATGCTGCTTGCCCCTCTTCCAAGAGCATACCAGGGCAAATTAGTTTGTATTTCCATTTCAGTTTTTTAATTAGAAATGAAATGCCAAAAATGTCTAAGGATATATGCAATGGAATATTACTCAGCCACAAAAAGGAATGCATTTGAGTCAGTTCTAGTGAGATGGATGAATCTAGAGCCTGTTAAACAGAGTGAAGAAAGTCAGAAAGAGAAAAACAAATTTGGTATATTAAGACATATATATGGAGTCTAGAAAAATGACACTGATGAACCTATTTACAAGGCAGGAATAGAGACACAGACATAGAGAACAGATTTTAGACCCAGCGGGGGAAGGAGAGGGTGGGACAGATCAACAGAGTAGCATTGACATATATACACTACCATATGGAAAATAGATAACTGGTGGGAAGTTTTGTACAACCCAGGGCTCTGTGACAATTGAGAGGAGAGGGATGGGGCAGGAGTGGGGGAGAGGTGCCAAAGGAGGGGACATATGGATACTTATGGATGATTCATGTTGATGTATGGTGGAGGTCAACACAATATTGTAAAGCAATTATCCTCCAATTTATTTATTTATTTATTTATTTATTATCCTCCAATTTAAAAATATTTTTTAAATGTCTAGGGAAATGGTTTCATTATCAACTAGAACTTCAGAGCCTGACAAGGTTTAACTTTTCTTTCATATTATGTGAGAATTAGATTTTCTGAGCTCAGTGTATGTTAAAACCATACAAAGACATTTAGTTTAGATTCTGGCTCAGAACATTAAAGCCAGTTTTGTTTTATTTTTTGCTAGTTAAAACTTTGGCATGCTCAAAAATGGTAAGGTACATAGAAAATTATTCACTGTGCGGGAATGTCCCATTCATTATGAGTGGGGAATGTCCCACTCATAGACCGCTAGCACTGGTTGATAAGCCACATCAACTATTATTGTGGCAACTAAAACATGCCCACAGGTCTCCCAAATGCCTGCTAAGGGTTGGCACCACCTCTAAAGAGAACCAATGGTTTAGACTGTTCAATTGTCAAGTGCTGCAACTTGGAAGGAACCCAAGGAATGGGTGTGTGCTCAAAACCTGAATGACATCAGCAAAAAGGAAATGAATGACTTTTTGGGTAGGCATCCACCAATGTGTGCCTCAAGGAAAAGGCTGGATAATATTCTGTAATGTCCCTTCTCATTGCAGATTCCAAACTACTTAATGTCCTAGAAAGCAATGTAAGATCATTTATGTGTAAACAATGATCATGGATAATGGATATTTACATTTTATATTCATAAATCATGATTCAAAATAGCAATTTCTTCAATTGCTAAATATAATTAATAAAATTTCTCTTAATGATAAACGAAAGATATAGCAATTGAGATACTTAAAATCTAAGCTTGAAATGAATAAAAACGCTGTCATGTGGTATTTTAGAACAGTGTTAGTGACTAAAATATTTCAATGCAGGATGTAGCACTTTTGGTATTATTGAGAGCAAAAGAAGTCAACACTATTTAATTCAAATTTTCCAAATTAAAATTATGCATTATTTTGTATCTCATTTCTTTCTGAGAAAAGGATGTAGATACAACCTTTTTTTTTTTTAAGGCAAATTAGCCCTCATTGCTCTTTTTCTAAAAATTTAGTTTATTTATTTGGCTGTGCAAGGTCTTAATTGTGACATGTGAGATCTTTACTTGCAGCATGCCAACTGTTTGTTGCGGCATCTGAGAGCACTTTCCTGACCGGGGATTGAACCTGGGCCCCCTTCATTGAGAGCACAGATCTTAGCCACTGGACCACTAGGGAAGACCTAAATATGATCAGGGGTCATCTTTGAAGTATTAATATCTAACATGGTCTCTAGGGCCAGTATATGTTTGGTAGGTGTTTGCTGCATAAATAAATGGTTTCAGTGAAACATTTCAGAAAAGATGATGCAGATCTAAGAATATTGTATCATAAATAGTTTTAATATTGAAAACAAATTTTTCTTTGCACATTTCTAAGCTCTTTTACTCTAGATTATCATGTATGGGCTAATAGATATTTTTTCCTGTGTGAAATGCAGGTTTATATAATGATCACAGATGACAAAGTATTAGTAATCATTGAAAGAACAGGCTTCTCTGCAGCTCATTGCCATTCTGGCTGTTCACTTGTCTCATGTTTTTGTTGTTCTTTTCCACAGGGATTCGATAAACAAGTGGATGTGTCATATATTGCCAAACATTACAACATGAGCAAAAGCAAAGTTGACAACCAGTTCTATAGCGTGGAAGTGGGAGACTCAACGTTCACGGTTCTCAAACGCTACCAGAATCTAAAGCCTATTGGCTCTGGGGCTCAGGGAATAGTCTGGTAAGTAGGATGGATTTAACCTCTATTTTTAAAGGGAATAAGCTATATATGTTGACTAGCCACAAACATATGTATACAAATATACAATATGACTTGAGATGGGAAATATCCACTCTACCAAAGAAAAATAAATTTATGAACATTATTAGAAATTTATTGACCAATTGGTTAACAATATGTACATCTTTGCTTGTGACTAGCTTTTTCCTAGTTTAAAAAAAAAAATCCATTACACAACAACCATAGAGGAACCAAGAAAACCAGAGGTTTTGCTAAAGCATTTCAAAAATCTTATTTGGATGTTTTATCAGCAAGAAATGAGGAAATATGTGTTCAGATAACCAGAAAATAAAGTTCTCTACTCTGAAGAAGTATAAATGAGATCTCAAATGTTTCAGTGACTTTTAAAGTTTAATGTTTAAAATTCAGTTGCCTATTAGAAAAGAGGTATTAAAAAAATGTTTGTTGAGTATTTCCAAAATGGAAAGATTTTGGACTCCTTGGTAACCGTTTCTTTTTGTGATATTTTGAGTGGCAAATTGAAATGAGGACAAATCAGGATGTAACTTGCTGGTTATAAAACTCTTACAAAAGTGATGATACCAGATTGGTAAGCATTTTTATTTTGTAGTTTTAACTTGTAATTTATCATCCAGATATATTTAGTGTGAACTTCTTAGTGTGATTTTCAATTTTGTGGCTCACAACTATAAAGTAAAAATTTAGGACGTGCACTGTAAGTATACATGTATGTTGATATTTATTTATAAATATTTACTTACAACAGTATATTTATTTGTTGTATGAATTAAAGCTATATTAGGGATATCTGTGTCAAAACACAAATATCCCTTTTAAGAGATGAGATGAAGATGAAATAAACATTATTTTAAAATAGGTTTTTTAAAAAAATAATTTTATTTATTTTACTATTTATCTTTGGCTGTGCTGTGTCTTTGTTGCTATAGAGGCTTTTCCCTCTTTGCAGCGAGTAGGGGCTACTCTGTATTCGTGGTGTGCGGGCTTCTCACTGCGTGGCTTGTCTTTGTTGTGGAGCACGTGCTCTTGAGCATAGGCTCAATATTTGTGGCACACAGGCTTAGATGCTCCACAGCATGTAGGATCTTCCCTAATCAGGGATTGAAACTGTGTCTCCTGAATTGGCAGGAGGATTCTTTACCATAAAGCCACCAGGAAACTCTCGATTTTGTTTTAAAAATCCTTTTTCCCCTCTCATTTGATATATATATGTTTTTCATATTTCATAAGATGATCCTAAAATCTGGTTCACTTCAATTTTTAAGAAATTTTTTTTAAGACTATTTTTTAAGAGTGGTTTTAGATTCACAGCAAAATCAAGAGGATGGTTCAGATATTTCCCATAAATCCCTAGCTCATACACATGCATAGTATCCCCCTGTATCAACATCCTCCACAAGAGTGGTACATTTATGACAACTGATGAACCTACACTCACACATCATAATCACCAAAGCCATAGTTTGCAGCAGGGTTCACTCTTGGTGTCATACATGCTATGGCTTTGGATAAATGTAAAATGATATGTATCCATTTTTATGGTATCATATAGAGTATTTCCACTGCCCTGCCAATCCAATATACTCCACCTATTTATTTCTCTCTATATCCTCAACCACTGGCAACAGTTGATCCTTTTATTATTTTCATAGTTTGCCTTTTTCAGAATGTGTAGTTGGAATCCAACCGAATATTGGGTTGGCTATTCAGATTTTCTTCTTTCACTTAGTAATATGCACTTAAGTTTCTCTCATGTCTTTTTATGGATTGGAATCTCATTTATTTTTAGCAGTAAATAATATTCCATTGTCTGGGTGTACCATACTTTATTTATCCATTCACCTACTCTTAAGACATCTTGGTTGCTTTTGTTTTAGCAATTATAAGTAAAGCTGCTTTAAACATTTGTGTGCAGTTTTCATGTGGATATAAGTTTTAATAGTTCACTTCATGTTGACAACTCATTTTAAGCTCACTTTCAATGCTTAGTCAATGCAAATGACAGAAGTGCCTGGCTGGTATACTACTAAATCATTTACTAGCACTTAAACCTCATTTCGGAGAAGGCAATGGCACCCCACTCCAGTACTCTTGCCTGGAAAATCCCATGGATGGAGGAGCCTGGTAGGCTGCGGTCCATGGGGTCACTAAGAGTCAGACACAACTGAGCAACTTCACTTTCACTTTTCACTCTCATGCATTGGAGAAGGAAATGGCAACCCACTCCAGTGTTCTTGCCTGGAGAATCCCAGGGATGGGGGAGCCTGGTGGGCTGCCATCTATGGGGTCGCACAGAGTCGGACACAACTGAAGTGACTTAGCAGCAGCAAACCTCATTTATCAAATATACCAAGGTTTTTATTGAAATTCACCCAGGGAATTTCAGTCTTTGCCAATGTCAATCAGTAGCTGTTTTTGCAATTTGAAGATGGAATATTTTAATATTTTAAAATAATGGGTCAAAACTTCATTGTGTAGATATTTTAAAAGCTAGGTAAATTTTTATTTTTAATGTTTATTTATTATGGTGCAAGGTTGTAGGTCAACATCTTTGTGACACAAAATGTCAAAGGTGGCACAGTGGTAAAGAAACACCTGCCAATGCAGGAGATATAAGAGACGTGCGTTTGATCCCTGAGTCAGGAAGGTTTCCGGGACGAGCAAATGGCTCAGTATTCTTGCCTGGAAAATCCCATGGGCAGAGGAGCCACCATGAAGTTACGAAGAGTTGGACACAACTGAGTGACTGAGCACACACACACACACAAGGCTGCAGGTGAACTTCTGTATTACACAAAACAATTTCAAGGTGTGGTAAACAGAATAATGGTCCCTCAAATAATCCCCAGAATTCTTGGTATGGTATCTTATTTGGCAGAAGGAACTTTTGCCAAATAACTTTAAGATGAAGGGCCTTAAAATGGGGGGATTGATTATCCGAGAATGTCAAGGTGGGACCATTGTAATCACATGAATTCTTAAAAATGGAAACAGAAGATAGAATGGATAAGAGAGATGCAAGGAGAGAGAAGGGAACAGAGATGCAAAACATGAGAGGGGCTTGCCTTATTGTTGCTGGTTTTGAAGACAGGGGAAAAGTGTCATGAGACAAGGAGTAGGGCAGCTTCTGGAAGCTGGAAATAGCCCTCAGTTGCCAATTAGCAAGACAATGGAGATCACAGTCATACAACCACGAGGAACTGAAATTTGCCAGCAATACCCAAATAAGCAAGGAAACAGGTTGTTCTACAGTACCTCCAGAAAGGAACTCAGCCTGCTGACGCCTTGACTTTATCCCTGCGAGACTCATGTAGGACCTCTGACCTGAAGAACTGTAAGATAATAAATTTATGTTGTTTGAGCAGCTAAGTTGGTGGTGATTTGTTGTGGCATTAACACGAATACATACAGTATAATAGTCTACTATTAAGATGATTGCTATAAGTCTCCTAAAAAGCAGACACACTGAACTGTATTATTTTCAAAGGAAGGAGTTCAGAGTGCCTCTGTCAACTGTCCCCAAACTGTGACATTCCCTTTTTCCTTCCAAGTTGCATCTTTTACCCTAGATTATATATGAACAATGTGAGGAAGATAAAATGTGCTTGGGAGAGACCAATATTAATTATTAGTAGGCTTAATTTGGGCTTCCCTGTGGTTCAGCAGTAAAGAATCCGCTTGGAATGCAGGAGCCACAGGAGATGTGGGTTCGATCCCTGGGTCGGGAAGATCCTCTGGAGAGGGGTGTGGCAACCCACTCCAGTATTCTTGCCTGGACAATCCCATGGACAGGTCATCCTGGTGGGTTATGGTTCGTTGGATTGCAGAGAGTCAGACATGACTAAAGCGATGTAGCATCACAAGGTTTAATTCATTTTCTAGATTACATGTTTATGTTTTCTTCTGCATTCTACTGTGTGATTTGGATACTGTGTGATTTGGAGAATAGGAACCCCATTTAAGAGGTCACTACATTAATAAGGAATTTTCAAAGCAAAATAGAAAATAAGACAGAAACAAAAATTCCTGTGAAGGAGGAGAGATTACAGGTGGAGAAAGTAAAATGATTCATGGATAACTTTTTAAAATGAAAAGTTGTAGAACATGAGAAAATTTTTCCAAGACTCTCAGTTTAGATGCTTCAGTCTTCATTGGAACCATTTCACTTTCTTTCAAATAAAACTACCACAAAAATCAGGAGTGGTATTAAGAGGAAGTTAATAGATTTTTAAAAATTAAAAAGTAGACCTAAAGCATCATTTTGCTTAAGAAGTTAACAGATTGTCCCAGAAACACTTGAATATCTACTAGAGCTAATAGTTTTGTAGCATTTTTTATAGGGCACTAGCTAATTGCTAGAGTTAGTCACTCAGTCGTATCCAACTCTTTGCAACCCCATGGACTGTAGTCTACCAGGCTCCACTGTCCATGGAATTCTCCAGGCAAGAATACAGGAGTGGGTAGCCATACCCTTCTCCAGAAGATCTTCCCTACCCAGGGATTGAACCTGGGTTCCCTACATTGCAGGCAGATTCTTTATCATCTGAACCACCCGGGAAGCCCCTTATAGGATACATGGGGCCTGTTTCTCCTTGTACAGAAATGAAATCATACAAGGTCTTAAGTATAGTAATTGAAACAAATCTCAGTAAATAAAATGTCCTTGAGTACAATTTTTACTCCAGTAAAATCAGTAAAGTTAATGATAGTTTTATCAGCAAACTTGTCAATAAAATGACACCTGAATTCCAAAATATTAGCCTTGGAATTTCCTGAGATTAGAGGAAAATAAAAGTAGCAAAGACGAAGATGAAGGGGCAGAAATGGGATTATGTATTCCTCTCCATCATCTTCTAATACCATTGTACCACATGCACAGACAGCACAATTCCAGCACATTACCTTCTGTATATGTATATAGCTGTCTCTTCCTTGTCCCTCTTCCTCAACCTAACTTTGAG